TATTGAGGGAAGTGGATTATCAAATCAATTTGTCAAAGGACTTCATAGGAATCGACTTGCATCATCTCCGCATATGATCATCAGTATTACAAGTATTTCACAATATTGTATAATGAGTGTGAGTAGATTTATGCAAGTCTGTGTGCCGAATGAATGATTTTGTTCAGGGTAATAGATATTAGCGTGATACCGGAAGATATTCTTCATTTCGATTACCATTGATATTACAAGAAAGCAATACTTCATTTCTGTAACAACAAAATATAAACATTTACTGTTCAAACTCATCGAATTATAAATTTTTTTTGTTTAGAAAATGTTGTACTCGCATATTTTAATGACAAATTGAAGACTTTGAAACCATCATACTTTATGTGCTCAATATTCGATGCTTCGGACAACTTTAAAAGTAAAAAAGTAATACTGATATTATTGCGTATAATGAGGTCACAACTTTTTTGAAGGGCAATTCGAAAGGGTTTTAGGCAAAAAAGTCAAAAGTACTTACTCTATCAGAGGTAAATAAATTTTTAACAGAAGCTTCGGACGCTGAATATTTAGCATCTAAGGTAATTTTCATAATTAAATAAAACGAGTATTCTCTAAACTATTAGTATTTCTTTTGACTAAAATTCTTTTTTTTATGTATAGGCCATTCTTATCTTAGGTGTTATCAGTTAAGTTTTCTATATATTTTCTATATTGAATTAATAAAATATAATATAACTATAATTAATAAAGTTTCAAAAATACCACAAACCGTTGCGGAATATTTAAAGTTGGATAACGTTGAATTATATACGGGACATTGCTTCGGACGAACGTCTACAACTTTGTTAACAAGTGCAGGAGCTAATATTACGACCTTAGAAGTCAGATTCTGTGACAGAAGGTTTTATTGAAAATGCTTTTTCAAATAAAAGCAAAACTGCCATACAAATTAAAAAAGGTTGTTCCTCAACGATCGAAACAAATTGCAGAAATAATTGTTTTTGAACCGTCCACAAGTGCAGGCAGTTCTTCGTATGATATATCAAGTCCTAAAATAATTAAACTGTTACTGACATTACAAAAACCGAGTTGAATTATCAAAATGTTTCAAGCGACGAAGTAAAAATCGAGGAAACAGTTTTACACTTTGTAATATTCTATAGTGCCGCTCAGTAAATTTTGCCCACCCTACAGAATTTTGGGCGGTGCAAAAAGTTTTATATTTTTGTTTCTAAAAAAGATAAAACAATAAAATAGTATATTACGATACTAGGCCAGAAAGTTGGATTTCGTGGAGGGCTAGATATATAGGGCCAAGGTGAAGGGAATTAACATTATATTTATTCATAAATCTGGGAATAGTATATTACATTATAAGGGCAGAAAATTCGAAATTCCCGCACCGCAGAAAATTCGAATTTTTTGCCCGTGTAATGTATACTATTTTTTTATATCCGGTCGAAAGTACGCACAATAATTAACTTTTTAAAAAGATTTTAATCGCGTTCCATTGACAGCCGGCCATCTTGTACTTTTGCTCCTTGCTTCAACGCCTCTATCGGCCATTCGCGAAGCTCTAACTTTTTCTCTCTCTCTCTTTTTATTTTAGTCAAGTAAATTTATTTTGATTCCTGACCCGACATTTGCTGCACGAGCGAAGCGAGTACTGCTGGTCGGGGAGGCAGGCATTGAAAAAGCATGTGCAAGAAAAATTATTATTTAATTTTTAAAAAAATGTATTTATTTTTACAATGTTAAATAACATAATATAAAGTTTTCTTCTTTTTTTCTCATATCTCATAAAAATAAAGATTATTCGTAATATTGCCATGGAACACGCAATTTTTGTAATTAACACATGAATCTTGTTTGAAAGCTAAATTAAAATCGCTGTTTTCCAGTTTCTTATTCTCATTTTTTATAACAATAAAAATTATTCGTAATATTGCCATGGAAGACGCAGTTTTCGTATTTAACACAAGAATCTTGGTTGAAAGCTGAATTTATGTCGATGTTTTCTTGTTTTTCATTAAGTGTAAGTTGTAAGGTTTGTTCCTTTGAATTAGTTTTTCCTTCAGCGATTTTCATTTTTTGCGGGGGGTGGTTCACTTTGCAATTGCTTGAATGAAACTTTGACAGGTGGTTTTGTCAAAAAATGCTCCGCTACTTTTGTTTGCTGGTTACTTGGCACATGTATTTTTAGGTTTTTCACTGTTGTAAAATGAGATGTCGATGATTCGGTTGCTGTTGTTTGATTTAATTGATCGATTGCCATTAAATCCTGTTCATCTATTTCAAAATCAGGAAACAAATGTTTCGAAACTTTTTAAAAATTTTTACTTTATATACCTCTAACGGATCCTGATTAATTCTCCCAGTCCCATAACTGCAATTCGCCTCTAATTAATAACCGATTAAGAATATTCTTCCCGGCTGAAAAAACTTGTACAAGAAAATGTACAAGTTCTTGTACATATTCATTAATGAACTTGTATATTTTCTTGTACATGTTCAAATAATGTTCTTGAACAAGTTCAGCATTCGGAATTGAGACATATTCTTGTACCAGAACTTGTACAAGATCCTGGACAAGAAAATATACTTGTACAAGAAAATGTACATGTTCTTGTACATATTTTTTTGTACAGGTTTCATGTAAATTTTTTGTACCAGATGTGGAACATGTTCTTGTACAAGAACATAAATGTGTCATGTAAAAGTACTTGTACATGAAACCTGCACAAAAAAATATGTACAAGAACATGTACATTTTCTTGTACAAGTATATTTTCTTGGACAGGATCTTGTACAAGTTCTGGTACAAGAACATGTCTCAATTCCGGATGCTGAACTTGTTCAAGATCATTACTTGAACATGTACAAGAAAATATACAAGTTCATTAATGAACATGTACAAGAATTTGTACATTTTCTTGTACAAGTTTTTTCAGCCGGGTTTATTATGTGTGGTGTATAGAAAAAGAGAAAAACTTGACATTTCTCCAAAAGTGGATGCGTAAATGAGTTTTTAATGTTATGAAATTTTTTCGTTACAACCTACTTTCGCCCAAAACTTTTTATTCGGTTTAGATCTATCACAAACGCCTACATGTATCCGAGCACCAAACTTTTATAACAAAATTATACATTGAATGACATATTTTGTTCTTTCTACTCCAATTACTGATCCATATGTAAGTAGTGCTATTGGCTGTGTAAAATTCTCGTTAATTGATTGAAATGCAAACACTAAAGTATGATCTGCAATTGCATTAATGCCTGTATTGCCAATATTACTGAGTCCTCTATAATCCATTGTTTTTTGGATCCACTTGAATATTCTTTCTTGTGTATATTTCATCAAACATAAGAATACCATAATGAAAATATTCTGGTTGTTCGTTTAACTTTTCGGCGAAATGTTTTGATATAAAATATCAAAACAATATTTAAACTATAAATTATTTTTTAATAACATTTTTAAATAGCAGATACAATTAAAATTTAAAAAGAATTACCGTCGAATTGTAGTGACACAAAGAAGAGGTAAGAAATTTGATTCACTTAACATCCTCTATGCTGCAGGTAATCTCATGTGCAATAAACGATTTAAAGTACAATCCATTCTTCGGAGTATCTATTTCCTATTGAATTCTTACATTTTGCAGCTTTTAATATTTCTATAATTACTATATGCTTATTTTTTGGAATATTTTTTTTGTTAATTCGGACTCCAATGAAGTTTTTTGTAATAGCTCTAATTTTTCTTTATTTTTTTGGAGTTGCTGCTTAAAAAAGTTTAATCGTACGTTTAATCAACATTTTTGTTTATGCGTGTTCTGTATTTTTTTACTTAATAATTTTAGTTTTTCTTTTTTTTAGGACTCAGTTTTAGTCCAAGTCAAAATTTCGAAAAAATAAAAAAGTTAGGCAATTAAATGAAGCGCAGTGTATTTATGAACCTTCGCGTTTTTATTTTAAAACAATAAGTGTAATTAGTTCATTAGCAATTTGTGAGAAAATCGTGTAATATTTATTAAAATTGTTTTTTAGGTTTAAAAGGTGCATGCCTCAGTTAAATTTATCGATATATTATTTAATGATTTTACTAAGCATTTTCTTTATACAGGTCTTAATTGTCAAAATGGGCCTGTGGGGCAAACCGGCCTATGTCTATTTCCCTTGCAACAGAAATTCACGAAGACTACCTATTGGCTAGAAAACTTCGTGCACGGTTTCGTGAATCTTTGTCCACTTTACGGAGATTTACGAAATTTTACAAAGTTCACCGACAGACGTTTCTTCGTGAACGACAGCAATTAGTTGAAAATATTTGTTTTATAATAAATAAGATGTTTCTTTAATTGAAATTTAATCCTTTATTATTATTTTTCTTATTGGGAAGATTGTTTATTGATTTTTTATATTTAGTGACGTTTTCCTTACAATTAATTCTCTAAACAAACAAACAAAAATAAACTGGCAAGTTTACCTCAGGGGAGGGGCAAACCAGCCAGTTTGCAAATTTTTTTAAAATTGATGCAGCAGCTAAACAATACATTTTAAGGTACATGTGTCTCTAGGTAAAAGTTGCGCAATTAGATGACCTTTCCAACAAGCTATTATAAAAGGTTTTTCATTAGTTTCTTTAGTTACTAGAGCTTTACAACTGTTAACATGGCCGGTTTGCCCCAGTCTCCCCTATGTTTATATGAAGGGGGAATTTACTAGTTAAAAACGTGTACTCTTGACTACCGGTATATTTTTTTTGTTTTTCGTAGGATGTAAAAAAATCTGCTACACCAAGGAGGGAATTGCAACTCCAAGGATCAGACGCCTTGGAGCCCGACTCTCCAGGTTGTGCGAGGTTTAGCTTTCTCCTGCAGACTCGCTAAAAGAAACATCCTTTGGCTGGACACTTTTCACTACGGAACTACCGTCTGGCTTTAAACTGTGAAGGTCCCTGGGATTTCGCTTGCGCGACCATGCCTTTTGCCAATCTTCCTGGCTTATTTATTTTTCGTACGAGCGAGAGTCTTCTTAGCTTCCTCTAGGGCTGACTTGAAGACTCCGCATCCTCCACTGCCTGCGACGTGATTCGTACTGATTTTTTCGTCGCTCAATTTCTTGCATAAGAAGCAGCTTGGGCTCTTCTTACAGTCCGCATACTTATGATCGGCTTCTTCGCATCTGAAACACGCAGCCGATCTATCTTCTGCTGCACAACTCCTTGCTATATGGCCATAGCCAAGACATCGATGACACCGTAGTACCATCACTCTTCTTTTAATTGGGCAGCACATAAAACCCACTTTTATGTGCCCCAATTTTTCTAATCTGTCCGCTTCATCTAGGTTGGTGACAACAACCGCGAGCTTCATTCCTCTGCGATTGGGTCCTAGGACCGTCACTTTCCAATTCCTCTATCTAACACTTCCTGTATCTCATCTAACTCAGTAAGGCAATCCAAATCGCGGATCTCCAATGTGACTCTTCGATCGACCAACTGTACCTTGCCCATACCTTCAACCGCCTTGGTAACCTCTGCGGCGAATGCTTCCTTGTTTGCATCTCCTCCAATTTTGATGAGGAGATCCCCTTTCTTTGTAGCTCTTGCTGCTACCACTCTGGTATGGCTGGCGTCTGGGTTTACTTCCTTTCGGAGTTTGCTCAAAACGTCAGCATACGTACTCCCCTTCGCAACCTTGATGACCATGGTAGATGCACTTCCTCTTCTTCGGCTATCCCTTACCACAGTGGTCTGTGGTACTTCGAAATCTCCTCTAGCCTCATCCACAATGATAGATGGTACATTCAAAACAGTGTTGCCCTCCTGCATCCACGGGCCACTGGCCATCGCCCCCACGCTAAGCGCTTGACGATTGGAACCAGAGAGGGATTTAGCGTTTGCATTACCCTGCAGGTACTCTTCTTTTTTACAGTCGTTCATCATGTCATCATGTTTTGTCCCGTATCGTGGGATCTTCGGGCGTCTACAGGGTACTACCATCTCGCCAGGATGGGCCCAGAACCTCCTCCGTTAGTTACAATGACGTAAACGCCAATGATATCCAGGGTCACTTGAACTATACCAGGGGCATAGCTCGGAAGTGGAGGTCGATATATCTCTCACGGGTCGGCGGGACAAGTCTTTGCGTCCGATCACAGAGTTTAACCCCTTGACTACCGGTATTACACCTCATATTACCCTTATTACTAAGTTATTACACGTTATTACAGAGTATTACACATTATTACAGAGATATTACAGATTTTTTTGCGTTATTACAGCACCGTAATAACGCATTATTACACGGTATTACAGGAAGAGTGTACACTTAACTACCTGAGTAAATTCCCCCTCGGTTTATATGTTTTTATATTATTCTAAAGAACTGTTTTTGGCACATAAATGTTTATTGCAAAATTTTTTCTATAAACTGGGTGTTGATTATGTGCATGGAGTTATTATTTAACTTCCGTGGAACAATTTTTTAGGGTAGTAAAAAATATAGGTATCATTAAATCGCAATTATCAACTGTGTCTATTTACCCCTAAATTTTTCAACTTTGCTAAAACTTTGGGGTAAATTAAAACAGTTGATTATTTCTTACAAAATTTAAGAAAAAATCAATTTCAAGTATGCAAATGTTAAAAGATAGAAAGAATTACAAAAAAATGGTGTTAGTTATAAAATAATTCAAATTATTAAATAATAATGCATTAAATAATAAACAAAACAAGTCTATTTTTGTTAAATACAATATATCGATGAGAATATAGATGAATACTATTTTCAATACTTTTTTATAATGCTGGAAATAGTGTTGTAATTTGATAGAAACAATTTTCTCTCTCTCTCTCTCTCTCTCTGATAAGAATATAATATAAGAATATAAGAAATATTGTTTGAATTTCTGTTTCTATTTACCCAGAATTTCCAGTTTTAGAGGTAAATACACCGAAAAAACGATATTCTAATTTTAAGAATTTTCAACTTATTTTAAGAATATGCGAGACTTAAGTAGGCGCCACGAATATATTCTTAAATTAAGAATATAATCTTCTTATATTAAGAATATTTTCTTAGAATCACTTTTTTAGAATATAATCTTAAAATAAGTATATTTTCTTCTTGTATCAAGAAATATACTTTTAGCAGTTTTAAGAATACTATAAACTTAATTTAAGAATAGTAAATACTTAATTTTAAACCAAAATATACATAATTTCAAATAAAGAAAAAGTACAGCATTTTTATTTTAAAAATATTACTTTTATTAAAGTTTTCAAAAAAGAACACAATTTTAATACTTAAAGACAATGTTAACCAATTGTCGAACATTTTTTTCAATTTGGGATCACAAAAACTTAAATTACGTAGATAAGATTAAGAAACGCAATAATATTTTTTTTATAAATTTTTAAACGTGAAAAATTAAAACTAAACAACAATTATTACAATTGTAGAGAATAATACTTTTAAAGTTGGAAGTTGGTGCTTGAATTTGCTGAGAATGAGAACCTGTTAGAACTGAAGCTGCAGGTGCAGCAAGACATGTAAATAATGTATACTGTTTGAAAGGTGGCTCCGGTAAATCTAAAGAATTATCTACATAATCATCCGACATCAAAAATTGTTGTTGTTTCGAATTATCGAAATTTGAACCCATAATAGGTGTAACGTAAATTGATTAAGCATTATTTTGTCCAAACTGTGCCAAGTTATTTGGAGTTTTAATAGTCTGATGTAATTGTAAGTAAGATTCTGAATTAATTGCAGACTTGAGCAATGCATTACATCCGCCACTTGTGTTCTGAAACATATAACATAGGAACAACTATTTTTATACTTTCTGAAAAAATTGTATAAAGCAGTAAAGAATTTATTAACAATTTCATGGTTGCCACGCATCAGGAAAATCAGAGAAAATTCAGAGAAAATAAAATTGTCAGGTAATTCAACGAAAAATCGTGGAATTTCATCAGAAGTACTGGAAAAATAAAAAAAATTTTATTCAAATTTTGAGTTTAAAAATTATATAAATAAATATAAATAAAAATTACAATTTATAATTTAATTATAACCTCTAAAAGAGGTTATATAGATCAGAGAAAATTGAGATCAGGAAAAAACAAAATCAAATTTGGAATAAATAAATAATAATAATAAAATAATAAATAATAATAAATAAAACAAAAATAATAGTAGAAAATAATAAAATTATAATAAAAAAATAAATAATAAATAAATAAATAAATGAAAATAAATAAATAAAATCAAATACCTCGAATTCTTTTAAACTCTCCATTAGATCTATCCGGAGTCTCATATTTGGAGTGATTTCTTTTATCAAATCCACAGTAAGACCTCTCACTCTTTTTATGGTGTTTATATTATTACCTACACACAACACACAAATATAAATAATAATATAAAACATTGAAAAATAGAACAAAAAAAAGCAAAAAACAACAACAACGTTAGAACACTTGTCGTTATCGATGCTACACTGAAAAAGCAATCGATAACAGCTATATAGCTATATACACGTTGTTGGATCGTGGCGACGACTGCACACACGCTTGACAGTTTTCGCGGCAAATAGAGGTTATGTTGACCACTTTTGGTAATCAACATTTAATCAAAAAAACTATAATTATATTAATAAAATAATTGCTATTTCTTACCTCTAAACACTTCGATTAATTCATCTAGCGAGTTTTTCCGCAGCCTGGCGGTAACTTCTTCCATTTTTCACTATGATTGTCAAAAAAAACACTCCGACGCGCACGACGACTCGTTAGTCAATGGCGACGCGAACAAGCTAGCAGCACGTCAATTCTAGCGCATATTCTTGTTTTAAGAAGAAGAAGATTTAGTACATAGAAAATATTCTTAAAGTTAGAATCTGCTTAAGAATATTATTAAGAATATTTTTTTAAGAAAATAATAATCTTAAAACTAGAATACCGTTTTTTCGGTGTAGAAACAGTCTCCTATTTTTAATTGAATTTTGCAAAATGAAAAAATCAAAGTTGATTTTTGAATCATATAAATATTTTGTTGTTAATATAATTGAATTTTTTTATATAAAAAAAAGCTAAAACTTTATAACAAAAATTTTATATTTGGTCAGGGAATTTTAAGAAAAATGGTCCGGAAAACCTGGAAATGTCAGGGAATTTTGAAACCGTAGCAACCCTGATAAAGTTTAAGTTCTAAAATACGGTGTCTTTGCGACCTACCTATCGTAAGGTTGAGGTACTTCAAGAAAATAGTTTTACATTTTTGAAACGTCATTTGCAACGGAATTTAAAGGATGACCTTGCCTTATTAGACAATGATCATGACATTCTGCAACTAAGTCTTGATTCACTATTTTCTTGAATGCCTTTAGTTTACGCTCATCTTGCAGCCGATCTCACCATCGATCCAGTAAAGTTTTCTACAAAGTTATAGGGTCAAACTAATACTAAAACTAACGAAAAGGAGTTACAAAATTTCCTAAACCATATAGAACATGGACGAATGTGAGAAATCACAGAACGAATTGTGTAATGTAGGGTAGGAGACTATAGGGAGTTTACAGAATATACAGTTATACTGCATCACCTTATCCACTAACTTCTACAAGTACCCATCTATTTTTTATAGTATCAAGTTTAATAAATGAAAACTTTTCTTAACTGTTATGATATATCCCATTGTAAATTCAAACATCCTCAATTTTTGCATGTGTTTGATATTTGTTCATAAACTACGTAGACATATTTTTGTCACTTTTGACCTTCCTTCCCCCATGTACCCAGACAGCATGGAAACTTTATTGAAAATTTAGTAAAGATTTAAGGGGCCGTCCATAAATTACATGATAGATTTTCGACTAATTTTCGACCCCCTAGCCCCCCCCCTCATTTTGCTTTGTACAGATATTTTATGTGACTTTTGGTAGTCCGCAGAGCTTTAGTAAATAAAAAATGTCAATTTTCAAGTATAAAACATTCTAAATCCATTTTTTCATCTATAAATTCCTACAGAAAAAAATGTCAGCTTTCGTTTAAAAAAAGAAAAGATTTTAAAAATCGTGATTATCTATAGGTGATGAAACGCAGAATTTTAAAAGCTTTTCTGATTGATTTTGTTTTAGCTCTCTATTTTTTTAAAGATAGATTTTTTTTAATTACTTGCAGTAATTACTTACAAATGGTAGTAGAAGTTACTGAAATAATGAACGCAATGAAAGCTCTTTTATTAATTAATTAAAGCAGATTGTCAGATGTCTAACAAAAACTGAAGGACAATAAAAGATTCTGAAAAGGAAACTGTGAGCATAAAAGATCACCGTGAGAAAGAATAAACGTTGAATACGTGCAGTG